TACGTACACTTTTCCTGTTGTGGTCCACATGACGACACGTGACGCGGCCGTAGCACACCCCGAGTTGCGTGGAGTGCGAGGGCCCGTTCATCGCTGCTTGCAGCTTTAATTAAAGTAGTTTTTTTCATATTACAGACTGTAAATTGCACAGAACAATCGTCATAGAATTCATATGGTATTTTCATGTGGCAAAACTGTTTATACAGTAAAATAGGGATTAAAATGTAAAACCAGTACTTTTTACCATAATAGTTCTATTATTTTTATTTTTTTTACAATATGCACAAGAAAATCATAATCTTTTTACATAGATTGGAAAAACATCAAATATTATAAATATACTTTGAGCAAACTGATATGAGAGGGTTTTATCATCCAGTATATTATGTGCAAGTGTGAACTCTCATTTTCCTCTTTGGAGTGTTAATAAAGTTTATTTGATCTTATATAACAGAATTTTTTTTTTTTCAAAGTATGTCACATCAGCAACAGAGAGGACCTGAAGGGACTACATTCCTGCTATGCCCTTGATGTGGAATTAAATGTTCTTCTTATAAAATACGCAGGAGGAGTGAGTCATGAGGAGTAATCAGCGTCGGCTATGATCTGTTCCTCGCCCTTACGTGGTTGAGCTCAACAGTCCCGGGATCCTATTAACTCCCACGCCATGCAAACATATTCAGGGTCAGTACCTTGGCTCGGCCTTGGGAAAGTGAGGCTGATGAACCCGAGCACCTCCACGACTCAGGGCAATGCCTCGTCACACACAGGAGTCATGCTTTATTTTCCATGAGTCTGTGCCACGCAGGTTCTTATTTATTCCACATTTGTCTGACAAAACACGTAAATCTAAACAAATTATTATTTTCAGGGAGTTTCAAGTTTTTCTTGAATTTTGCATCCCCTGTCAAACAGCAGTAAAATTCTCAAGTCTGTTATCAATTGGCCATGGCTTGCTCTTTATCACATCATTATACTGACGTCCTGCCATTTAAAATGTTCACAGATCCTTGAATCTGTGAAGACCAGTGTATTTATTTAAGATGTGTTTGGAGAAAAAACAGGTCTGCATACTGAACACAGAATATATATATATATATATTAGTGCTGTCAGTTAAACGCGTTATTAACGCCGTTAACGCAAACCCATTTTAACGGCGTCACTTTTTTTATCGTGAGATTAACGCCTAGCACACTTTGTAGTTTTACAAAGCTAGACCGGAAACAAAACAACAGGCATGCCGCACACACTTGTTTAAGAGTAGTAGACGTTACGTTTTAAGTGGATGGCGAGCGCGAGAAATGGATGGATTTGTTGTTGTCTGAAAATGTCAACAGGCTTTTCTGTTTGAGTAACTGGCTCAAAAAATATCTTTCTGAAATAAGAGGCTGGGTTGAGCCTCTGGTGAATAAAGAGCAGTAGCCTGACTGCTATGTTCAAAGCAAATTTGAGAAAAGTATTAAGCCATGGTTTAACTGCACTATAGGCTGAGTCCTAGTTTACCTTACATGTGCACTTTGTAATCTTTGAAAGGGCTGTTGAAGGGGCTGTTTGTGTGACAAAGTATTTTTTTCACCCTTTTATTGATGGACAGTGTTACATTGTGTGAGAGATTATTTGCTCCAAGTGAGAATGTTAGTGTGAAATTGAACACTACAGTATATGCCAATGTTGTTTTCAATAAAAACAACATTTGCACAAAACAAGCCGATCCACTTTTCCATGTTGATAAGAGCAATAAAATGAGAAAAAATAATGGGACAAAAAGAAATCAAAGGACATTTAGAATAGATAAAAATAATAATTAATTGCGAGTTAACTATGACATTAATGCGATTAATCGCGATTAAATATTTTAATCGTTTGACAGCACTAATATATAAACATATAAAAAGTAATAATACTCTACTTACTCCCTGCCAACAGTAATTAGTTACAATACTAGTTAGTATTTATGCTAGGGGTGGCTGTGGCTCAGCAGTAGAGTGAGTTGTCCACTGACCAGAAGGATGGCGCTTTGATTCCTGGCTCCTCTCGCTGCATGTCGAAGTGTCCTTGAGCAAGATACTGAACCCCAAATTGCTCCTGATGCTCATCGGCGTGTGAACTTAAAAACCACTGAAATGTTCTTCTGTCACGTGCTAAAACATTTTGTAACAGTAGCACAAGTACAGAAGTGTGAGAAAGGCAGTGAACTCACTCAGACATGTCTGCCACACAGCAATATCAATCATAAGTTAATTAACATTGGCCACCATAAGCTACAGTATTGGTCATAGCAGATGAAGTAAGGCTGTAGCAGCAACATCCCTGAATGTACTGAACTCAGCAAGCTGGTGCATTTAATCATTTATGCACTCAACTTTTCATTCGTAAGAGGAAGACTGCTCTGCTTTTCCTACGTGTGCTGTTAGAGTCATCCAAAACATGTTATATTGGTTTTAATATAGTGTTCTTTCTTTGATTTTGGAGTTATCGGTTACCAGTTGATGGCTAATTTGTATATTGACTGTCGACACTGATGTACTATTATGTGGTTGAAAATATTCAAAGAATGACTTGCCTTCAGTCATTGAAACTAATTGCCTCTAATTATCATGTCAAGCTCCCTGAAACTCCAATGTTAATGTCTCCAGCTCTGGTTTACCATTGGAACACATCAGTTTAACGCTGTGTAAACTTCATCTCCTCCATATGCATACAATCTGTTGTAATTAGAGCTGGAATGCTAACTAGATCTGGTTCAGTTCATACTTTTAATATATAATGCAGTTGTTGTTTGAGATACAGTAGGTTGAATATAAAAATATTGATATGGAAATAGCCTTTGGGGAGTCTAATCAAGATGGAGACTAAATTCCTACTATAACTGAGCTGCTTATGGCCCTCTGACCTCTTGGATATGACTCCACTTGTCTATCAAATTGTTGCTTAGAGCACCAGATGGGTGGAGTTCACCACACGGGGGCAGATTTACTGCCTGGTGCTGTCAGCTGTTAATCACAGTGTAGAAAAGTGTAGGGATTTAGAATGCTTCCTATGCATGCACATATGCAGAATGTGATGCAGAAAAGAGCATAATTCTTTAGGGGATCAGTTAACTGCACAATGTGAAAGCTGAATGTGAATTAAACTGACAGAAAAAAAGCAGATGGTAAAAAATGAGGTGCAAACCATCTACTGATCAGTTAACTAAATTCTAATAATGCCAGAAAAAAATGAAATGAAAAGTAATTGACAGAATTCTCAGGCAGATTAAAGATGTTGACAGATGGTTGGCAGCTGCAAAGCTCATACTTTTTTGTGGCCTGAAGTTTTTAAAATCCACTTTTGATGGTTGCCAGAGACATTCTTATGCAGGAAGAACTGCGCCTGGGTAGTTTCTAGTGTTCATTTTGATCATCACAATGGCAATGCCATAAATCAACACAACATCTATTGTATCCACAACTAAACTGCATCCTGTAAATTCTCAAATAAAAGATGGTATTCAAATATTGGCCTAGTAATAGAAGCTAGGTTAATCTCATGGAGAGGGTGTGGAATTACCTGTATATTCTATAGATCATAGTCACATTGTACATTCAGCACAATGTACATTTCCACAGCACTAATTCCATCTGTAGAACAACAGTCACGTCCTACTCATCTGAGTCTCTGTTCTCTAACAGAAATAGTCTTCATTTACTAGTCCAATCTCTTCAGCTGGTTTTTCAATTGGTGTCAATGAAACGCAAGACTTCCTGCAGATGTTTCAAATCAAAGCCTCAAAAAATGCTCAGAAAAAGACAATTTGTTAAAGATTCCCTCCAGACACATAGACCCATATACAATTTATAAATGTACATATAAAAATATATAAATGTACAATATTAGGGACGGGAAGATATATGATATTATTACGTATTGCAAAAAAAACATGTATCGTGGTTAATTCTCATTATCAGGATAATCGTGAATATCCTCACACGAGTTACTTGAAAAAGCTTTCTAGCTGACTAGCTTAGAGTTCTATATTGATTGAATTGATTTATTTTAAATTGCCATACGGGGGAGCCTGCATCTTTTTAAGCCTGTCACTATGGCCGAATGCTCGACTTTCCATTGTATCCCCCACAGAATAGTTATATGTGGAAATTCTACAGATTCCAAACTACAGAATGATAGGGAGATAAGGTTATGCAACAAAAATATTGTTTTTTTTTAACAAAATATAAGGTAAAGGGATTCCATTATGTTTTTGATGATTATCGCGGTAATATCGTGAATCACAATTATTTTGGCCAGGATAATCGTTACATGAAATTTACAACAAAACCAAATCCAAAATCCAGTCGTATCAATTCCATGTCCAGTCACTGGGATGCAATCTTAATGTTATCTCTTTCTGTGTGTAGCCTGAAGGAACTTTTATTTCGTTATACAACCCTGTGTTGTACATACAGTATGTCATTTCTGCCACTAGGGGATTGCTCACATCAAAACAATAGGAAAAGATCCCATTGTGAAGTAGTGTGGGATCATGGGAGTTGTTGTCTTCATTGTTAAACAACCACCATTATTGATGAAAATCTATCTGACGTGATTCAGACAGAAATCATCTTAACAGAGGAGATAATGTGAACGTTTTCTTACCGTTTTTTTTATTATTGGAAACATCTGGCATAATGTAAGTACACAACTCTACAACATATATATATAGGTCTGGTGTTTATAGCCATTTTAATGTGTAAATGTTACATGTTATATCTCTAAGAAATTGTCTTCTTTCAATGTCTTTTTCTTGAAATCAAATTTTTTTTCTGATATAATGTTAGGACATGCATGGACTCCCTCATCAAATCAACAGCCTATCAACCAAGAATGGCTGGGATTATGCCATTTGGGGCTTTTAATGTGAAAAACCCATACAGGAAGTGTTGAGTTACATTGATGGTAACTCAAAAATCTGTATCATGGAAGCAGTTGAGGACAAATGAAAATAAATGCAACATCTCACCTTTCTCTTGTTAGTTGGACAGACGTAGAGGTAGCTTAGGACGGTCTTGGATCCAACTTTGTCATTCATTCTCTCGTACGTGGAGCCGTAGTCAGTAGATCTGAATGGAAACAAAGGGAAAATGAAGTCAGAAGCAGGCACATACTGCAGTAGAGAAACCTGACCAAAGCGCAATCCAATGGGTAAACAAACAGAAGATTACTGGGACGCTGCACGATTCATGTCAAATTATATTTATTTTGCAGTGACGAAAAAGAAAGCAATATCACACCCTGCAGTGGAACAACAAGCAGATTCAGGCTGGTATGGTACAGTTATATACAGTTTTCCTGTGCGGGAGTGAAACCTTTGGCAATAGAACAAGAGAAGGTTAACCAATCATCTATAGCTGCCAACAAAAAAGAACCATTCGAAAATGTCTGGGGACCCGGCACTGTAAATAATTAATTCTCTCCCGATGACTACTATGAAATAAAATATGACGAGTGCAAAAACATGTGGATGTTCCTGAACCCATGGGCTTTAATAATTTAACAGTGGGAATGAGCCTGTTAGCCAGCCTAGTCCCTGGAAACTCCACATGAATCCATCATCACTAGTAACTACCAAATCTGCCTTCAAGTAGAATATTACAGCATTTACAGGGCTGTACTCGCTTTTTTTTTTTATATGTGAAAGCTGCATTCATGTGCCCAGAATTTTCTAATATTTCTCTCTGTGGGGATGGAAGCACCCACCCAAAACTGTGGCCCATTCGGATTTACAGTCTACTTCACAGTGAGGAAAAGTGAAGATGATACCTATTTCAGCCTTCTTTCCCCTTTTTTTTTCCTTTGGTCAGAGCTCCTTTAGTAGGGAACAGGGGTTTCAGTGAAATTGCAAAGAGATTTCTCTCATTCAGATTCATTCCTGACTGCCTCAGAGAGACACAGTTGTTGCTATGATTACAAAGCCCGATAATGAGTCAGACAGACAGCATCATTTCCACAGCATATTAAAGTGGAGGTGTGGAGAGAAGTGCTGCACTGAGGATGATCCTGTTTTGGAGCAGGGGTGGTGATCTACGCTGCTGGCCTCTGAGTAACATTGCTGGAGCCTCCTGAGAGGAGACTTTGTAAAAAACACAGAAACATATGTTGTTTTTGGCATGACACATGGATGAGCACTGCCAGGCGTACCTTCATCATCTAGTAACCATAATGCATATGCTTAGATTTCTTAAATGGAAAGTGCTGATATCTTTGGCGCAGACAGACGCTCGGATGTGGACCAAGATTAAGTGTGACCCCCTTGAAACACTCGCACCCTGCCCAAGAGAGCTAATCAATACGAAATGGAAAATTAACTGATGGCAGAATGACAAAAGAAAGGCATCCACCCACATCATATTTTTTGGACCGGTTTGAAATGGAATTTGGAAACGGTCAAGGTGGCAATGTGGGCAGTGGCAAGACTACAACATGACCCAGTGGTTAAACTATACTGTGTCAAAATGGCATAGTTCCATTCCTAACTCGGTTCTGTCGTTAGCAAGAGACCTTCTCTACTTTCTGCTTGCTCACTGTAGGTCCTTCCAAGAGTGTTCAACAAAATGCATTAAATGTGCCCAAAAGGCGAAATGTGCTGGTTTCTGACAGGAATACATATTTTGCTTGAGGGTTGTATATATGAGATTTAAAACATTAATATAGTGACAAACAACTATTTGCTTTGTAAAGATATAGTGGAGTCATGGTGTCCTGAGCAGAGAATGAAGTCACACTCTGCCTGTGTTGTTATTGTAGCTCTTCCTCTGTTTCCAGCTGAGTAGAGCGACTGAAAAAGATGTTTTTCTCATTTACGTCAGTGAATTATTTTGACCAAATCAGAGTTTTTGATTGTTGGAACAGTGGAAAGACTAACAAAGACTGTTATTGTGAGTTTTATTTTGTTTCTGTCCACTTTGAATAAAGTTACGAGGATAAAATTACTAGTTTTGTCAATGGAGTCTGGTGGCGAGCGATAGTGATAATTCAGTAGTTTCTGGTTAAACAAAATTTCTAACTCTGTAGGGATCCTTTCCATAATGTTGTCAGACACAATCTGAGCCTGTCAATGGCAAAAACAGCAATTTCTAGTAGACGTACTTTGAAGGGTGCTTTTGTCCCCGAAGATTAGCTAACATTAGACGGCAGAAGCAACAAGCCGCTTCGCTACAATTTTGTCATCTAACTTAGTGAACTATGGATTTATATTGACTAAACCAGAGTTGGTGATTATTGGAAAGACGATTTTGTTGAGTTGTATTTTGTATTTTATGATTATCTGCTAGGTAAAATTACTGGTTTTGTCAATGGAGTGGTGAGCCATAGTGATGTTTAAGCTGTTACTGGTTAAATAAAAGGTCTATCTCTCTAGGGATCCTTTCAATAAAATTATCAGACATATATAACAATCTGTGGCAAAACAAGCACTTTTAGTGCCACTTTGACGGACGCATTTGCCTGTAAGGATTAGCTAACATTAGATGGCAATCTGGTCTTTTGACGACTAACACAGTGAACTAAGGATCCTGACTGATTTTGAGTGAGTTTTATTTAGCTTCTGCCCAGTTTGAAGTATGTTTTATGATTTCCTGCTAGGTAAAATTTGTCAATGGAGTCTGGTTGGCTGTGGCGCCCTTTGTTTTGTCATCAGGTGGCAAGTGAATTATATATATATAACCTTTAGAAACTGAAACTGATATAAAACACACATTCCATACTGATGCAGTCTGTTCTCACTGGAATACTTTTAGGTAGTTAAAGGTAGCCTTTGGAGTTTCTGGCCACTAGTAGTGTTATTGAGCAATGTTTTTATAACTGGGCTCCTGTTTTGTTTGTATCTCATGCACAAACACATGAGTGATACATGTACAAATACCTTCTGATGGTCTCTCATTGTCCAGCTGATCGACAGTTAATGGCAGTAACATGCCAGGGGAAAAAAAGAATGGTTGCTACAAAAAATAATGTATACAATACAGAAATCAGCTTTGCCATATTTTATGAAGAAGGAGTAGCATTCAACATGCCTGAATTATACGTAAAATTGACTCAGATGAGTCCTGTAATTGTATTTATTTTTTAAACCTTTTTATATATTTCAATTAAATTAAAAACTTTAAAGTTAAAGTCAATCACTGGCAATAATGTTTGACAAACACAATTACATTTTACACAATTAAATTTAGACCAACTGAAAGTCTTTGTTACAGGCTCAGAGTGCCTTTCCTGCCACATTTGGCCTGCCCTTGGTCCCTCTAATCAAATTAAGTATTCAGAAACTGACAAGTCCAATTTGACCTGAGCCATACTTTTAAGCATTCTCAGTGATGCAGAGAGGATTATCCCTGCTAATATTTCATAGTACATCGATTACTGCAGTACCTTGTTTCACTAAGAAAGACCTAATGCTTCTATTGTTTTAAAGACCAGGCTTTGAACAAATGATGGTAGTATACTTTTCTCGTTTTAAATTCTCTTTCTTGGTTGTCTGTACATTCAAGAGTTGATTTTCAGATTTGCTGGTTTTTAATTACATTAGGATGTGAAAATACACTGCACACTTCTGTTTGCATATGGTACTGGAAATATACACAGATGAGTGTGAAAAACCCTGTGTCTTACACTCTGGTACAGTGACACCAGCTTTGTGTTGGCTGTACCACCCACCACCTCCTGGTATGGCAGCAAGAATAGGCAGAATGTAACATTTATCCTGGCTGACATCCTGTACAGTGACCGTCAGACAGGCTGGTGTCTGGAAGGAGGCATTTCTGCCTATTTGCTCTTTGCAAAACAGATGCAGGTCTGATTTGACCCTTGTGTGACACTTACGCTTTCTTGTCACTGTCTCACAGCAGAGCACAAAGTTCCTGGGCTTCACTTTGTCAGCCTTTATAACATAATTTAAGGGTGAAACTTGTAGTTACTTATTGTAACCCTAGTTCTATGAGAGCCCTTTAATCAGTATCCTTTGGATTTATGTCAAAGCTAGACTATTCTGCACCTTGTTATGTATGTCTAATGGCAATATTCACTGCCAATGCAGAAAGTATGAGCATATGTCGATTATATACAGAGGTGGAAATTAAAGGTTAAAGGTCGGGCTGGTGGGTGGGCATGTAACGCATTGCAGGAGGGTGTAGTTTAAATCCTGTCACAGAACTGTAATTAACCTTTGCCTTTTTATTAACAAAAGCCACAATCTTACCCTCACCTTAACCATTACCTGTTTTAGTTGCCTAACCCTTACCATACCTTAACCATAGTTTATTTTTCATAAAAATTGGAAACATTGTTGTTGAGCTTAATCTGAGGTTTGGCAGAATTGTCCAATATGAAAATACTTGTCTGGTGACAGGGTTGTTACTCAGCTACGGTAGGACAATTGCCAGTTGCCAACAATTGACTTAAATCACCAAAATGTTCCTGTATATTACTGCCTCATCAGCATTCAGTGGGTCAAATGTCACACCAGTAGTTGAGGAAGTGTTTGAATACTTTACTCAAGCAAAGGTACCAACACAGCAAGGTAGAAATACTCCTGAGTAAAAGTATTAGAAGCAAAATGTACTTGAAGTATCAATGTAAAAGTACTTTATGATGATGTATTATTGATGAATTAATAATCATAATCATTCCATTGTTAATGCTGTTGCATTAATGTGTAAGCAGCATGCTTGCCAACCTAGTGGTTGGGCCTTCAAAGAGTCACCAGATAAATCTGGAGGGTTGTGAGATCGTTAATCAAAAAGTGCTGCTCCACAACTTTTAGAATTTTCTCTAATCTCAGTTTTCTTAATATAATATATATTTATATTATATAATATAATAATATAAATATTGGATAATTTCACCTCTTTAGGCCTTGAACAGTTATTTCAATGAAACCACATAAGGGGTTTAGAGGGGAAATGTCTCTTTGGTGCTGCTGACAACTCATAGACATCTGAAATGTGACCTTTGTAAACACCTTTTTGCAAAGGGTCATGAGGCAAAAAGGTTGGAAACCACTGGTTTATCATATTTAACTGTATGTAAAATCTGAAAAGATACTAATTACCAAAGCTGTCAGGTA